GTGGTGCCGGGGTCCACGAGGCACCACTCAGGGCATGACTCGGATCCGACTCTTTCTTCGACATGTAGCTCGCCGGGGTTTGAGGTCATTGAGACGAAAGGTCATTCGAAAGGGCCAAAACGTTGGGAACCAGCAACTTGGCCTGAACATGTGGAGCGTCTCCACGGCCACATCACACCAGCCTACTTCAAATATGCCTCAGTGTCAGCAGGTGGGATGTGTCACTGCCGGGAGCTTTGCAATGTTTCGACGTGCCAAAATGCGAAGTACAATCGCTTTTGCTACCGTGGAAATTGCTCTTACGCGGGTATGTGTGGAAATGCCTTAAGAGAAAGTAAGCGCATTGCCATTTGCAAAAGCTCTTTCCGAGGTGGTCTCGGTCTTGTTGCTACTCGCGCTATCCCAAAGGACACAATTATTGGGGAATATTTTGGCAAGATCGAGGTTTTTGGACCTCCGTGTGCAAATGGGTACTGAAACAACGGCTACATGCTTCATCTGAAGACACCTGCTCAATCTGGACAGCGTTACGATATTGACGCCAGAGAGGCGGGTGGTCTCTTCAGGCTGGCCAATCGCGCCTGTAATCCCTGTGCTCGCTTCCACGAGGCTCAAACGGGTCGACATTTGACATTGGCGGTCGCCACCGTCAGAGATGTGTTCCCAGGAGATGAAATCACGGTAGCGTATGGGAACGCGTTGTGGTTTATTTGGCGTTGCGGATGGGACGGATGCCAGCACAGAGATATCCAGCACCTGCACGATCTGTAGTCAGCTGCGCATGTCATGAGGTACTCGAACTTGGAGACAAAGTGTAAATGTTGAAAAGATTCGTACGTGAATACGGCCCACTTTTTTTCGAACGTTTGACTTCTCGAGGTTAAATCTTCGTGTCTTTTTCTTGCGAGGTTAAATTATGCGGCTCGAAGGATTTGCTCTTCATTCCCCGATCTTCTATCAAGAGCCGAAGCAACAACTCACGGATTATGACGGTATGCAAAAACAGTTCCCATCGCTGTGAGTCTGATCACTACTGATATCGTGTTTTCGACCAGAGATGTCGAAGAACTGGCTACGCGAATTACTCCGTCCGAGAGCAGCTTTTACTGTGTGCAATTGCAGAAAAGATTGTTCCTACCGGAAGGAACGAGTGGGAGCGTCTGACGATCCGGTATAACTCCCGCCGAGGCAGGAGTTCACTTGAGAGAGACTTGGATTCTCTACGCCGAAAATTCAAAAATCTGTATAACAAGCCAAAACCATCGGGCAACGGAGAGGTGAAACCTGCGCACAAGGCAATAATGTGGGCCAAAAATATTCAGATGACCATCGAAGAAAAAGCCGGGACGCATACATCCTTCGACGGCGTCGAGACTGAAGAAGACGAGGAGAAAGAGAATCAAAGCCAGATCAATCGACCTGCGTCTAGCGGCGGGGCCCTATTGCCCTACTTGCCTGTAGCTAACGGGTGCCGCGAGGGACACACGTCTGTCTCGCAAGAACGCGATCCTGTCAGCAGCTCTCCAGCCAGTAAAGAGAAGAATGTTGTCTCGCAGCTTGCCCAATGTTCCCAACAATCTCAGTCTCCGATTCCGGAAGCACAGTGCTCTGGCATTGCTATAACTAGTTCCGGAACGTTTGATGCTTCCCTTGCTGCGGCTCTCAACCTCTCCAATTCGGACGAGGACGAAGAAGAGAGAGAAGAAGAACTTTGCGCCAACGATGTGGATGGCGATAACGTCGGTGACTTTCAAACGAGTATAGACAACCCGGCTACTGGTGTTGATCAATACTGTCGAACTAGCTATGGAGAGTTGTCACCGAATCCCGACGCAAACACCACATTTCGGCCTCAAGGGGTCACTGAAGAAGTCCCACAGAGAAGTGCGGGTCGTCCGCCGAAGCCGACGCCTACCACGCCACCTATGACTTCTCCGGACGGAGCAGTGTTGTTTCGTGACCCAGGGCGTGCTGTAGCCAACGCTCGCGAGAAAGCTCGCAACCCCCGTCTCTCCAGTGTCAGCAATCGACTCGGAGGCCAAGATCTTACCGTTGTGAGAGACAACATCGAAGAGCTAATTAAGCGCTCTAACAGAGTGAACGAGTTAAGATTCGAGACCTTCACTCAAGCGAAACGCACAAAGACCGCGAAGCGTATCGAAATCCTTGGAAATCAGATTACCGGGTTAAAGGAGGCACACGGATCCGATACCAACGACATGACGCGCCTTTTGATATTTTACCGTGCAGAGAGCGACCGAAAAGCCGAAACAGCGGAGCTACGGCGCCATGAAGAGAAAGCTCAAAGAGACGCTGTCGAAAAGAGGGAAAAGGAAGAAAGAGAGCGCGCGAGGCAGGATGAGAGTGATCGCCTTCGAGAAGAGAGAGCAGATCGACTTGCACGAGAAGAGAAGTGGAAGGCCGAGAAGGAGTAAAACCGTCGCCAATTCGAGGCGCGAATGGAGCTCGAACGCTCTGAGGCCCGAGAGCGACATTCCGAAATGATGATGATGCTCGCAAAGCTTACCAACAAGTAAGTATACGCAGTGGTACAACTACTATCATGAAGTCATTCGGCCATGATATCATTAGTGTTGAGCTGCATAGTGCAAAATATTGTGACGTACAATGAGCGAACGAGCAATGCATGTTCACACACGTTATTGATAATCTTCTCGACCGTGGACATGTGTAGTACGAATCTGACTGATACCGACGGTGCGAACTCTGAAGTTAGATAAATTGAACAAATTGTCTAGACGAACGGCGCGCTCTACCTTTCCAGAAGGAAGAGGTAAATACAGTCGATGGTACACTTTGGCGACGGAGCCCATACCCCACTCCACCGCCTGCCGTACAAACGTTATAGCGCGTGACAACTTTCTCGCGACAGGACGAACGGATGGTAGCAGCTTCTGGAGATCCCCTTCCTTTAAGGAAGTAATGATTTTCCCTGTCATTCTTCCTCCACAAGGGAAAGCACTGTCCGCTACGACTCCATAGCGGGGGTCGGGACAGAAGTGGGGGTCAGCAAGGCACTCCTGAAACGCGAGGCTCATATCGCCGTCGTTCCAGCTCCCCGGGTTGTTGTTTTCGCCCATACAATGAGCCCGTCCGCGGAAAAGCAGAGCGTCCCTGTCACGAAGACCCCGTGTAGCCACCCGTTGTAGTGCGCGTTTTGAACGTCAGGGTTGGACGGCTGCAAAACCTAGAATATGACAGCGCAGAGATAAAGTATTAACAGACTTAACTTAAACATTCGAGTATTTAGATACCCACACGGAAATTCTTGCCATCGATGAAGCCCCAACAATACTGCAGCAAAGGTTGGCGCTGAGCCACCATCTCGGCACATGCTCTTTGACGAGCAAGAGAAGGCCACGATATACGAGCTGGCGAGAATCCGACGAGAGCCCGAGCCAGCGCTCTCTCACCATCCTTGATAATACGACTAAGCATTGAGGGAGGAACCCCAAAAATCATACAGAAAGCATTATTCTGCATGGACCCCACGTAAAACGCAAGCAGCAAGCCAAGGACTTGATGGAGCTCCTGCAATTTCCGTGGACGCCCCCCCTTTGGGTAGTGTTTCGGGATAATGTAGAACAAGGAAAACCTGTCCAATAAGAACTTGAAAGATTGTCTGTGGCGAATAGTTAAGCACAACAACAAAAAACAACGGAGTGATAGCGATTAGCGCAAGAGATCGTTTCTTCTGGAATCAGACGTACCGACTAAGACTTGTCATGTTTATCATATTCAGGTCATTTCCATGCAGCCACAAGTTCATCCAAGACGACCAAATAGGTATCATTAGACACCCGACCGTCAAATAGTGACGGACCCTAAGAAGTCTTTGGCGCTCAGCACGCAGGTACTCCAGATGGAGGCGCCGACGGAGATCACGAATCGCCCGTGACAGACGTATTCTCGTGCTTACAGCTGCCACCAGCAGCAACCACCCAGCGTCCCCCGCCATGATCTCTCCGCTCGCTCGATGAAATGGGGCTTCGGTAGAGTCTCAGATGAACGTCACTGAAGTCACGCGATCTTTCGCGCCTTCACATCTTTACATCTAGACACAATATTTAGAAAATTGTCCAGTTACTGCATGTCCCACGTATTGAAGTATACATAAATATAAGCTATGCGCACCATAGGTGCGTTTCATATTGAACGCATTAAACTTTTGAAAGTGGTTTTGGAGGTCGAGTTTCTGTTTACTTGACGAAAACAAAACCTATCCGCAGAATTAAACTTGCGTAAAAACGGGGGGGGGTGATCAAAACTTTTATGTGGGTTTTGGAAGGCGCCCAATGTATAGCCATCCAGTCTGTGCACATGCGGTTCATACCCGATCACTTATCAGAAGCGTTGTTGATTGACGCGACCCATGATACCAACTCATCCCACTGCAAAATGTATAGTTTCATAATTCATGATGCCGTGGCAGCATGTACAGGTGTGTTGTGCAATAAAGCAGAGACTGGTCCACCGTCTCAGATTGTGTGCGATGTTGAGACTGTGGCCTTATACACGAACTCGGTCATGGGTACATGATGCCGTTCCATGTGTCGAATGATCTGCTCGGCTTGGATAAAGTCTCCATGCTTGGCACACGCGTGCAGTACCGTCGTGTACGAGTACAGATCGGGCGTGTAATCGTACAGCTCCTGCATCTCGTTGTAGAACTCGACAATTGCTTTCACCGCGTATCGAGACAATACCCTTCTATCTTTTTTTTTCCACACAGCGATGTAGCCTAGAAATAATCGACAAGCACGTCCACATTCTTCAGTCCCTTACAAATATTGTCTTTTTTTAGTGTTCCTGCAGCCCAAACAGCTTCACATGGCTGCCATTGAGAGTTGTCAAAATCACAAGAACACGCTGTGTACGCATGCGCTCAGTTTCGCGCTATTGTGGACAAGGCTCCGCGGAATCAGAAGCCATTGCCCAAAGCTGAACCCATTTACCAGGAGTCCAGCAGCAGCACTGGAATGGGGAAGGAAATCGACTTGAAACGTCCAGGAAAGAAGCTCTTGCAACTGGAGAACGCCAACTACGATGGACGCTTTGACGAGGAGGGCGAGGACGAGGACGAAGTGGACGAAAGGGACAGCTACAAGCTCAGTCCAGAGGCCTTGGCACAAGTGGAAGCGTTGCGTCAGCAGGATGAGTCCAGTCACGAAGAAGTGAAGAAGGCCGAGTCGACGGCACTGGTCAAGACGGAGCGGAGTATGGAAGTCTATGGCCAAGAGGACGACAAGCTGTTTGCTGACAGTGAGGAATCGCTGGACTTTGAGCTGACGCCGATGGACTTGACAGACTTTGGCCAGTTCCAGACGCTCAACATCAAGCGTGCGGAGGTTCGGGTCCATGAAATGACCTTCGAGAAGGGTCTCAAGCCGTCTCGGACGACGTTGAACTCGATGCTGGGCGTGTACACGAATGCGCTGCGTCTTCGCTCGGCCGAAGTCTTCATGGACGAGACGTTCTCCAAGTTCGAGCTCAGGCCCAACAAGTTCACGTACCGTAGTATGATGCAGATGTACGTGCGTGCGAAGCGGACGACCCAAGCGGAGCAGTTGCTGGAGCGTGTGCGCTCAGAGATCGAGAGCGGAGATGTGGAGGCGGACGAGGTGACATTCGGCTTGCTGGTGGACAATTACGCCAGGAAACGCTTGCTGCGTCGCGCGCTCACGACTCTGGAAGACGCAGACGCGCTGGGGCTGCAGCTGCAGGAGAAGCATCTGAAGAAGATCCGCGCTCTGACGGAGAAGTACGGCGTCTTTACGGATCTCATTTCGGAGAACCCGAACGCGGTGCTTCTCGCTAGCTCTCGCTACAAACTCATGGAGAAGCGGAAGGTGCGTGCCCAAGTGTTGGAGTACAACCGCAAGATCGGGAAGCGCTTTCTTCTTCCGGAAACCGTCTACTAGACAGACGTGTATGGCGTGGGGTGTGTGGTGGGGGTAAGGAGGAAAGGTTCGTCAGTAGATAGATGCTGTCCGAGACAGAGATAATAGGCTTTGGACACTACAGTACCCAAGGGCGGTATTAATACCTAAAGGTGTGTGAAGATTGTATTGCTTTAGAACTCGAGTCCTACCAATATGAGCGTGTCCCTCGTCAAGTGACGTTTAGCAGCCGGAGCCACCGGCGATACGCAGACAGGAAGTGGAGTCGGTGAGACTCAACGCGTTGGTCATGACGATCCAGCAGAAGGCGAAGACGAGGTAGCACACGGTGAGCGTCCCTAGCAGCTTGCTGTGTAGCCATCCGAGGCGCCGAACGAGATCGCCGTGCCCAGGTTGGCGAACACGAACAGGATGATGAGCTTGATGCCTTTATCCGGTGCGTCGTGGTTGATCATGGCCAGCTGCTCAGCCGTAAGCTCGTCTTCGTCAATGTCAGCGAGTGCTGGGTCTCGGTAGTACGGATCGCCCAGAGGCAGCACCGCCATGAGGAAGCAGCACACGAACGTCAGCAGACAGCCCAGAATCAGGTACGGACGGCGTCGGTAGCCGAAGATCGGATAGCAGTCGGACAAGATCGCAGTGAACAAACGCAGTGCTCGAGGTAGTCTCACCAGAGCTTGAGCGGTGGCCGTAAGCACCGCCGACATGCATAGATGACGCCCGACAACGTGCCGTAGACGACGCCAACCGAAGCGATGTGAGCGAGCAGACCGACGTGCTGCCACGAGAAGACGGACGGAGCACCGCCAGGTTCGAGAGCTCCGTCTTCAACCTCCACAAGGGTCTTCACGGCCTCGTAGTCGACATTTGGAGACGCTAACGTTATCTTGGTGGGCTCCGGAGAGCTCGGAACGGCTGCAGATGTCGGAACCGAGCTCATAGGTGCTAATCCGGAAGTGGCAGAAGCTCAAAGCCTACACTGAGCAGCAGATAAGGAAATACATGTTCATGCAGCTCTTTCCTTCGGCGCCAATCGATTCCTAGTGAAAAAGATACTCACATTCAGAAGCTCGTTGCTCCAGTCGACTACAGAACCATCAGGGCGTCAATTTGTGTGACGCCTTCAGAACGGTAGTGGGACGTTACCGTGGAAACATCACGTCTACTGTCCTGGCTTCAAACCAACCACGCGTGCTTCGACCCAACCAGGTCTCATGTATGGTGGACAGCGCGGATGACTTGACGGTGAGCTTTAATTCAAAGTTTAAACGTCGTTAATCGCTGCTTCAGTTTGACGAATTCAAATGGTCAGCCCGGATCGTGATTGAATGCCCCATCAGATGGCAGCATCTGCCTAGTTTTGTGGACAACGTAAGTACACTGTACACTGTACTGTGTACTGTAATCAAAGCGTGCGACGGATGACTCGACCTCGTGCATTGATTCTGTATTGCTGATAAACAATCAACCAACCAACTGAACTGCAGTTCTCCGGCAAAGGGCGCTCCACCCGCGAGCGATTGGACCGTCGCAGCCCCGCTGTCGTTTGGCCCCGACGGCCGACGGTGGAGACGCGTGCCGCCATCAACAATCGCATCCAGCGACTGCAGTACTCACGTCAAGTATACTAGTAGGTATCCATGAGAAGAGAATAGCATGAAATAAATAAATTTTCTTTGAGGATCTCATTTTTTTAATTTGATTTAACGTTAATTTGAAAACTAAATTAATGTTTAGTTTTAAAATCATCCAAATTCTCGTTATATGCATGTTCTCATCGTTGGAGACCGGGTGGACGACGGCTCTGGCTCGTCGGGCACCGTCCGCTACGTTGGCCCCGTGGCCACAGCGAAAAATGCATCTACGCTGTACTACGGCATCGAATGGGACGAGTGGGGTCGCGGCAAGAACGACGGCAGCGTCGAGTTGCCAAGTGGAGAGCGCGTGGTGCATTTCTCGGGCCCTCCAGGCCGCAAAGTGTCCGGACACGGAAGTCCAGTGAGCTACAAATGCTTGTTCGTGAAAGCTTCAATTTTTGACAAGACAGCAGAACGAAGTTCGCTTCTGCAGCGACTGCATGAGAGATATTCTAACAAAGAACAATATTCCAAGTCAGAGGAAGGAACTCCAGGTGACGTGGTGGTAGCCGGAGAGGTAGGCACGACGCTGGGCAGCGAGAAACCCATTGAATTCGTGGGTGCCAAGAAGCTCAGCACCCAGCAAACGCTGCAAACTATCGAGAAAATCTCACTTTCCTGCTGTCAAATTGTCAAGTTAGGAGGACAAGGACTAGGGGAATTAGCCCCAAATTTAACGGAACTGGACTTATCCAGGAACCTTTTCAGCGAGTGGAGTGACATAATTGCTGTCATCCGCGAACTTCCGCTACTGGAGACGCTGATTCTAAGCGGGAATAAGTTGACAATTGAGGAAGAAAATGACAGTAGCAAACTAGCAATTTTTGAGAATTTGAAGGTGCTGGTGCTAAGCTACACTCTGCTATCATGGAAAAATGTGGGAGCGATCATCACACGCCACTTGCCCAAGCTGGAACAGCTGCATGTAGTAGGCAACGAGTACGAAGACGACCAGCTGACAGAGTGGGAGCCAACTGGAGGCTGGTTGGAGACGCTGTCGGTGTTGGATTTGAGTCTCAACCGCTTGAAATCATGGAGCAAAGTGCTGCAAGTTGTTGGGGAGTTCGCAAACTTGAGTCAGCTCTTCTTACACGGGAATCAGATCGTGACGCTCGTGGCTGACGTGAAGCCAACCTCGTTCCAGCAGCTTACGACGCTGTCGCTGAGTGAGAATCTGGTCGATTCGTGGACTTCTATTGACGCTTTGAATGCTTTTCCTCTGCTGGATACTCTACGCTTTTCAAAGAACCCATTGACGACGCAGATGAGTCTGGGCGAAGCTCGATTGCTGGTTGTTGCAAGAACCGACCACATCACAGTGTTTAACGCAAGTCCAGTCCGCGAGAAAGAGCGCAAGGAAGCGGAACAACTCTATCTGAAGCGAATCTTGCTTGAACTGGCTGTGATCGGTGAAGATACGACCGAATATGGGCGTGTATTAGCAGCTCATCCACGCTTCACTCGCTTGCGAGAGCTGCATCCAGAGATCTCCATTGATCAAAATGGCTACACTACGGGTAGTGGATCTACGGCTGGTCCAAGAAAGTTGGCGTCGAGTCTCATTAAAGTCAGCATCATCCCCATGTCAATGCAAGCGACTGGTTTCGAACCTTTAGTCAAGAAAATCCCTCAACAGATGAAGGTATCGCAGCTCAAAGTACTCATCGAGACGAAATTCGGCGTCCAAGTCCCTGCTCAAGTGCTTTCCTTCCGTACCGACTCCAGAGTAATCGTAGACTTATTGTTTTTATGTTGTGACCACTGACTTGGTGTTTAATCGTCGGTAGAGTTTACCGATGCTGCTAGACGAGGACAACGCAGAAGTGAGCTACTACGGAATGCAGGTAACGACTTCTCAGCTCTCCAGTATTTCGATCATATCGATCCTAAATTTTGTTTTCTAGGATGGCTCCGAGGTGTTGGTTAACGATAATGAGTGACAAAATAAGGTGACAAACTAATATCAAGACTTTCCCTCACGAAATATTACCAAACCGTAATACATGTACCTGCCAATTGTGGCCCAGCACATGTTGTGTCTGCCGGACGATGAACATGGCTGCACAAAACGACCTCCTTAGTGCTGTCAAATGGCTTCTTGCGGAGTATATCGACGACCCTACTGTGGACGCTGACTAGAGCTATGGATGTTGCAGCTCGACGTGGGCATCTCGAGGCTGTCAATGGCTACACTCTGATCGTTCAGAAGGATGCACTACTGCTGCGATGGTTGGAGTTGCTTTTAGTGGTAGGCTAAATTATGTTGAAGTAGCTTGTAGAACGCACATGTACTGAGGGATGCACGAGCCAAGCTATGAATTTGGCTGCTGAGAGGGGATTCTCAAGTGTTGTGCAATGGCTTTTTACCTTGAGATTAGCTGAAATATTGCAAAAAGCGTTTTTCCTTAATTTTTTTTTTATCAAGAATGCATCAAGCACCACGCTTCCAAATAAAAGAAAGGGTTCTTCGACTTGTCTTCCGTCTGCCAGTTCCTTACAGATGCTTGGAAAAGGGTTCATCGGTTCTTTCTTGAAGCGTGAGAGCTTCTGGGAATGTGTTGACCGGGTTCGGCTTGAGATTGGCGAGGTGGTGACGGTTCCTCGAGAAAGATTCTCCGTCCTCGGGCTGGTAGCGCTCCCACGCTGGCGTTTCGCGACGTTCACGACTCAAGTTGACGTCAGGATTAAGCAGCAGGTGACGAACGAGACTGAAAGCGCCAATAGCGAAGCCAACCGACACACAGAACACCAATGGATAGATTTCAGCGTCACGCGATGACACCATGATGAAGCTCTTCTCGGCTCTCGGACCAGTTGGGACCGGCACAGGGATCTGGGGCTGCTCCACTACCGCGCGTATATTGAGGAACTTCTGCAAACGAGTGAGGAGGACTCTCATTCTTGCACGTGTCTAGATTCTCTTCAAATTCTCAATCTGTGAGCATATTGGGCGAACCTGTGAATTGCCGCGTCCCGGACCATCGTCGCCTCGCAGATTCCTTTAGGTGACTAAACTCTACATGTTGGTTTTCACCGAGGTTTGTGAATTATCTACTTCTCTGGCCCAGTCCAAAATGACGATTTCATATTTTGACTGATATATCTGTGTAGTGTGGGGCTGAGGTCGAAAGCCTTGCCCTTATTGCACATTGGGCATTGAATGCTGCATTCATGCCCAGCTGGTACAAGTTATAGTTGCAGTTGCAGCACATAAAGTTATCATGAGATTGCCTACCGGTAGTTGATTCGTACTTAAATGGGTTCTCTCTCAAGGAACAAGAGCGAGTAGCAAAAACCACTGACCAATCATCAGACATACTTCAAGATTCTTTATAGAAATATAAACTAAATCAACTAAAGAATGTCGATGGTGGAGATTTTTTTTAATTAGAAAAGGCGAAGGCTGTCAAGTGTAGTTTCGTCAAATGTTTGCTGGCTCTGGAGTCGTGTTGGTCTCATACTTAAGTACCGATGCTGAGTGAGATATAATTGATCTACAGTAGGAGTGACAGATTGGGGTTCACTAGGCCAAAACGAAGTTTTCTGCGACAGGCGTAATCACGGATGCTTTTTATCCAATAGCACTAGTTTATTCGTAAATGATTTAACCCCAATCGTCATTTTGAAGTGGGTCAGAAAAGTAATTTGACGCCTTGTGGCTGCTATATACATGTAATTTACATTTCAATTAACAGCTTAATATACTACCTTCTCTCTCTGCGATAAATATTGCACTTTTATGGAAATTTTTGGTGGACCTATCGATCAGACAAATTTTATCGCGTTCACACTACTTCTCTAATAATGTACTAAATTGTATCTACTGTACTGTATAGAGAAAAATGGAGCGTAATTGGAGGTCTGTCCAATACCGATACAATACATGTTTTTTCTTAAACGCATCTGAGACCCTATCATCCTGCATGTATACATCAAAAATGATTACCATGTACATGTATGGTAAAAAAATACTGTAGTGAGCAAGGCTCACAACGAATGCATTACGCCGTCTTCCCTTCATAAGGCAATCAGTCTAATATGGGCGTAAATCAAATAATTGTTTCCACCTCATTGCCCAGCATTTTCACTAAGGAAGGGTGCAAGAACTGCAGCACATACATGTAATAACAGTACGTGACTGCAATCGTCCACGAGTGTCAACACCGTTTCTACGCGGCCCCATCTTACGATCGGTTCTTCTCCCTTTGTGCGAACGCGTGCACAATTTTCACGCGGGAGCGTTACTTCCAGTTCATCATTTCGTTAGTCCTGTTACCGGTACTAAGTTCCGATTCATTTTTCGATTTACTTCCACCGACGAAGACACCACCGAATCAAGTCTCTACAAGATGCGCGTTGCTCAAGTCTTGTTGGCCACATCAGTAGCTCTTGTTGCGTGCAACAACGGTATTGCTTTAGCGTGGAGGACGGTACCAAGGGAAAAAGTTCAGCCACGACTACCACCGGCCCCGACTCCTTGGCTGCAACTGTCTTAGGGGGCGATGGCAAGGACAACAACGACATTTTCGCCTACAAAATGCCTTTCAAGTACAACAATATCACTGGAGCGATGGTTATTACAATCGACAAGGCCAGCCTCAAAAAGATCTCGGGCGACATGTCTTCAAGCGAGCAATCGCAGGTCTTCGACTTCAGCGAGCTGGAGAAGAATACACCGGCGTCTAAAGGCGAGGACCGAGGGCTATTCGCTTTTGCAGCGACGCACCTCGCTCAGTACAAGTTGACTCAAAAAGCCGTCGGTTGGTTCAAGAGTGTTTTCTAGGAGACTCAATGATGTAGACTGGTTGGAGCTATTACGAGTATTCTATCTGTTGTTCTCGATTCATAAACATAATAATTGTTTTCAGAACCGGTATTACTCTTATATATTTGATTTAACGAAAACCTCTTCAAAGACGCTAGTTTTTTTTAGCGGTATCTTGGTTGGCCAGAACCGCCTCATATTTATAACCCTAGTGCAATCTTAGGGGATACTAATGATAAAGTATACTGTATATTATTTAGTAGAACTCGCTACGTAGTCTAGGAAACTTAGTAGGTGCCGTGGTGCAAATCGAACAGTCTACAGTCTCACAATACCGTTTAGCCTCTGTAGATTTGGGCTGTTTAATTACCGAGCAATTTCAGTAGGACATGCAACTAGCGCTACCAAAAATGGTCGCTATCGCCTTCGTTTTTGTAGGAAAATATACTGGCTAAATTAAAATTTGATGTACCTCAAGTACTGTAAAGAGTCCTTCTGTTTCTCCTAAAACACGTCTTAGTGCTCGTTTCTCTGCGTAAGTGCTCGAAAGGCGTTTGGGAGCCACACTGTAGTGTATTTGAGAGAAATAAGCATCGCAATATATTGACTACAGTGGTCACGGTAATTAATCTAAGTTGATAAATAATCTCATACACTAAATATTCTCACTCAAGTTTGTTGAGAATAATTCACGTGAACAAACTTTTCCAGAGTTCATTTATAATCTCAGTTGTGGGTGATATCTTTTATTCACTATCGGGTATGCTTATGGTGCAGTGGTTAATGATCGCCCTAGCCAATCGCTGCATTGTGAGTTCAAGTATGCCGCAGCAGCAGTGCATCGGGTGTCAATTGTCCCTTTTAGAGTTAGGTCTGTGGTGATGTATGTTCTGTGGAATGTTCTGACCCAATAATTGGCATCCGTTGGTTGCTCGGCTGTAAACACTGATGTTCGTACTTAAGAAAAGTTTCACTGTTTCTATTTACCAATTGGCTGTGGCTCTAAATTATATGACTGCATGTACTTGTGTCTAAGCCTTCTTCATTTCATGATGTTTTTTAAATAATTCTCTCTACCACTGTACAGTCCAGTGACATTCCAACAACTGAAAGTTTACCTTCAGGTATAATTTATGCCGACATGTAGATGTGAGATTAATTTCAGGGCTACATAATATAATAGCAATGAGATTTATTTTACCAAACACTATTTAATGGGAGTTCATTAATACTCTCACGGAGATCAATTGCTGTGTGAAATATAACAATTACTCCACACAAAATAATTTCAATGAGATTCATTACCGTGACCACTGTAACAGAAAGTTAAGGTACTCTACTTGGAGTGTGTAACGGGGTACGTAGCCCTAAGTGTACCCTGGTTACATGAAGTGTGACACTTCACACTTCAGGAGTATGACACGTCATACTCCGGGATATTTGATACAAGGTACCAAGATCGTTCAAAGCCAACCATTGGCTAAAATGACATTGCATTTCTATAGGTAACTAATAGTTTGTATTAAACCCAAACTTAACCTACCTATAAATATACTCAGTTTACAATCTACCTTATTTAGGTCACTTCGCTCTCTTTAATTAAAGAGGGGACCTGTGAACTGCCGTTCACTGAGAGTTTGTATACTCTCGGAAGATAACTTCCTCTAGCGCAAGGTGCTGTGTGACCCCGTCACACTTGGTAGCACTCGTAGTCAATCCACGCCACCGCGGGTAGACTACCTGAACCTCTCCGAAGTTCGTTGCCATGGATAGGAACGACTTCTCCCATATGAACGACTCTCAGTTCGAGTCGGTTCGGAAGATGGCAGGCATCTTCGGGATGGAGGCCCTGCAGAGCCTGGTGGTATCAACACCGGCTGAGCAGCTCGAGCGCGTCAATGCATTCGACGCGTACGAGCAGGGCCTCATTGCGCATGTGCGGGAGAACCTGCAGGCTCCGGCGGCGGAAGAAAATCCGCCTCACCCGAAGCCAATACGGCTGAAGGTTAAGCCGTATGAAGGGAACCTTCACTTCTGGGTCCGAGAAGTAGAGCTCGCGATGGACGCGGCTCTGATCTCGACCGAGCAACTGCGTGTTGCTTTTGCACTCTCCAACCTTAGCGGCCGTGCTAAGAGTTGGGTGTACACACGGGAAGCAACATCCCCAGGATGTTTCACATCATGGGCTCAGCTGTGCGAACAGCTCCGAGCCGCGTTCCTCCCGGCGAACTACGAGTACCGCTAGCGCTCGCGCTTCCTTGCGTGTAAACATGGAAGGCGCGAGCTGCACGAGTATGTGCAAGAGATACGGGAGCTCACGGCGTCCCTAGTGGGAAACCCACTCAACGAACACATCAAGATGACTGTGTTCATGGACGGCCTCCGAGTGGGCCCCGCACGCACTCAGCTGATCCGGGTGCAGTCAAGCACCCTTGAAGAGGCGATTCAAGTGGCTCTTCAAGAAGAGTACAGCCATCACCAGGCGCGCACGCCGGCCTCAGCGTGGCCTGGGAGTTCCTTGTCGGCTCCCGGTCGAGCAAACCCCAACGGACCAGTTCCCATAGAACTCGGGTCCGCCGAACAGCGTGACATCCGCTGCTTCGGCTGTGGGAAGATGGGCCACTTCAAGCGCGACTGTCCCGCGGAAAGACTCCGCAGACGGTCCTTCCCCAAGCCCGTCCTCAAGGGTCGCTGGCAGAAGCCAGGATCCCGGGGACAGGGGAACGCAGGGAGCCAGTAGGGGCGGGGCGCCCTACTGGGGAAGAACTAAGTCTTCGTGATGGGTGCGCGGGTGGCGCGTACCACGGGGACTTAGCCCCTGAGAGTCTTCGCACTCTCGAATCGGCGAAGAGCAGCGACGAGTTGCTCGTAGTACACGGTCGTGTACGGGGATACGATCATCCCTTTAGAATCTTGATCGATTCTGGGGCGTCGAAAAATTTCGCACGCCGCCAGACGGCTGCTCGTAGCAGCAACAAGTTGTCCGAAGCTTTGAGAGAAAGCAAGGGCAACGGGACGGTGTCAGTGCGACTGGCCGACGGCAAGGTCGTCACTGTCCCCAACGTCCAAGTGGATCTGGCTGTCAAGTTTGAAGACTTTGACAGCCTCGAACAGTTCACTGTTCTCGATATGGA